AATCAGAGCCATGTATGGATGCATTTGTGCATCCACATAATACCCGATGGCTGGTCTCCCCTGTGACACTTATTTTCCTGTGTGAAGGGAAGGCAAATAGCTCCTAAGTGACGGAGCTTAGAGTGAGTTTTCTTCATAGCTCTCTCTGAGCAGAGATTAATGACATAAAAAATCAGCCATCAGGTAGTGCTCTAGACCCTATTCGCAACCCAGCTGCGCTTGTGTCATGCCTGAGTGCCTGAATGTTGTCTCAAAACTTTGCAAAATAAATTGGCCCTGTAATGGCTACCCCCATATTGCTGAAGAAACAGATGCACCAGAGATTCTTCTCTCCAAAGATGGTATTTGGTGAAGCCTGGAATAGAGTCGCAGGGGAAAGCCAGGCCGCGTGGTGTGTTAGTCCCACCCCACATTGGGACTCATTTCTAAGATTGTGTAAGATGGGGAAGTACGGAGAAATCATCTAACACAGTACAGTATCCTCTAACAACTGTTGGTTAGGGCTCAGCCTTGCTCTAGGCTGCACATAATGGCCATCCCCTAGCTTTTGCTGGGAATTATATGAGTAATAACTGTCTCTCAATCTCTCTCACTCTATGTATCAGGTGTATATATTTCACATATACACCATATGACAGTGCATATATAATTATATATATTTAAAAGGCATTTTTTTTCCTTTTCACCTTCTTGCACAAAAATGAAACTATTGAAAATAAGAGTATGGAAAGCTGGCATGGGTGAGAAATGCTTGTTTGTGTAAGCCCATGGGCATTGCCACAGTTTCAAATGACTTGGGCATTACTAGTTTGCTGAAGTGCAGGCACCATGATGGCACGTTGATTATGAACGGATACAGATATTATCTGAGGCAGGTTATTCTGAGCACAAAGGGCAGATAGTTACCAGTAGAAGTCAGGCACCCAACTCCTATTTATACCTCTGGAAAATCCAACCCTTTGTACATATTATTTTCATATAAGTATTTAAAAAAAAGATAAGCCCTTACATAGTCAGTCCCCACTTTGGAGTCTTTAGCGGCATTTTTTTTTCAGCAAAACTATAATGTAGGAAAACTGTATTTGGCCCCACTATCTCCCTGTTAAGAAATGGAAGTTCTCCCTTCCTTGCAATTAGCAGCCTTTAATCTATTTTCTTTGTTGAACCAGGGGTTCAAACCCTATTTTAATGAAAATGCTATAAAACGAGTAGATAACACTTCTCAAGTTAGGTACCTCTTTAAATTAGAATACTACTGTGAAATACTTCAAATATCTCCTGCAAGATACGTTCACTAAGCCAGTTTATGTTGTCCTGTTGTCTGCTACAGGCAAGATCCAAGGGCTATGGCAGTGATTCTCAATTGCAGTCCACTGAGGTGAGCTGAGATCCTTTCAAGGGTGCTGTAGGGTGCTCCACAACGTTAGGTGTGCAAACATGTTTCACAAGATAAACCCAGAGATGTCAAATAGGAATCCATAGCAATAAATAAACCCTGACCTGTTGTGGTCTTTCTGAGTTCTTTGCAACAGGAAAAAAAATGCTCTTATTTTTCTGTAGTCAAAAACAAGTGAAAAAACTAAGAGCTGGCATTTTCCAAGGGGCGACTTGAGGGGCATTTTGAATCTAAAAAGGTTAAGAATCACCGTCTATTGAAATGAACTTTTGATTCAGTAGGCTTGGGATCAGCCATTTCACTCAATAACCTTAGGATCAGGCCTGATTAGGAGGTTGAACCACTTTGCCAATGTCTAATCTTCAGCTTGCAGTGGCCACCGAGAAACGTTGGGGAGGTGTCCTATTTTTCTTAGTCTTGTGTTCATTGCTACAGAACAGGAAAAACCTCCTGAAGAGGTAATATATTTAGGAATTTAGGTTAGGTCCTAAACTCCCTGGGAGAAGAAGTGCTTTCTTTTATTCCTATAAGTGAAGGGCTCAGCACAGTCTCAGTTCTTAAGGTATAGTCAATAAAACAGCTGTTGATACAGGACAGCAAGACAAGATGTACTAAAGAGCAAGAGTCAAGAGGGAGAGCAAGGGAACTGAAGACACAAAAGATACCTGAAAAGAAGCCAAGACGGTGCAGAAAAGAAAACACACAATAATCCATATACTGAGGGAGAGAAAATGTGGGAATATCTAGGACATTGAAGGCACAAACCATTGACATCTTCCTCATTTGGATTACCGTTTATCTCCTGAATTGACCAGGTGTATTGATATCCTTATGACACAATGTATGTCAGGTAGGGAAACTGCAATGGTCTGCACTGGTGCTGGGCAAACAAAGGAAGGAAATGTCATTATTTGTTTAATCTTTTGGGGAAAAAGTAGAAATCTGAAATCCCATAATTCCAGCACTGCCCCCACTTGTATAAGGTATTGAAACCAGGAGAGAGGGAACATCATGGAATCCAGGTACAGTTAAAATATTGTAAATATTGCCAAAATGTTGACATTTGAAAAATTTTGGCCACTTATTTTCCAACTCCTGTTTTCCAATACTTGGATTAGATCATTCTTTTTCCATTATTATTCATGAACATGTGCAGAAATGGGATGAGGAAGGATTCTGGGGATGTCATAAATCTGGATACATGAAATGTGTGTGTGTGTATTAATCTAACTCCCCCAGATCACAACTTTTGATCCTTTACAATTTGTTTGTCATGATTAAAAATACAAAAGTGTGAATCAAGTATCTGTCTTTTGAGCAAACAAGTCCCCTTTTGCCTGGAAACCTCAGGGTATAATAATGTTGCCATGAAATGCTGCCGGAAGCAAATTCAAGATGATGAGAAGATTCAGTACCTTTAAAAAAAAAAAAAGAGAAAAAGTCTGGGTTAGAAACATATCCTCTGGGGATGTACATCACATCAGAGATCCTGCTGCAGAATAAAAGTGCAGCGTATCCGAATTGAAGTGGGAGTGGACACGAAGCCAAAAGTAGCGTCCAAGATGTGGAGGTCTGATCTCTCCCGGAATGAGAAGGCACTCGGGTCCCTTTGAAATGTGGTGGATCTGTGAAGTGGAATAGAAAATCAGATCTCAATTTAAAAGGGGGAGAGGAAAACACACGCAGGGCGTAGTCGCCTGGTGAGTGGAGGTAGTAACAGGCTCCTTTGCTGGAGCTAGAGAGATCATCGCGCGGCATTGTCTTGCTTACAGCCCGGTGTAATTTAGGGCGAAGCCCTGTTGTGTTCCGTCTGATGACTGCTGGCTGTACCTGTCCGCACGGCAAGCGCCTTCCCTGGAAGGAGTTTCTTCCCTTGCTCAGTGTGCAGATCCGTGTAGCAACCCCCCTCCCTCCCAGGCGGATCTTAAGGTGTCCTCCCTGCTGCTCACGGGCTTGGATTTGGAGATCTCTTACCCCTGCCTGTGCCCATGCCCCTGCCTCCGCCCAGCCTAGGATGCGGTCAGCTCAAGGCAGGCTTTTGCCTTCCTTTCTCGGTTGAGCAAGGCAGATGGGCGGTGATGGAGCGAGGTGCAAGGCTCCCTTCTTCATCGCCCCCCACGTGGATCAGATTTGGGCTGCGTCTCGGGAGCCGGCACCCTGGAGGCGTCTCCAGCCGCACGGAGCAGGGCACATGGCTGGGGCAAAGTCTCCGTGTTTGCTCGGGGCTGGGTCCTCTGCCTTCCCACCCCAGATCCGCGCGTGCCCCCATGCAAGCCCGGGGTGCAAAATGTGTCCGCTCCCCTTTTGGGGCTGTGCAGCTCTCTGGCCTGCCCGCACCTTCTGATTCCTAGTGAAATAATTAAATAATAAAAAAAAAAGGCGCCACTCCCAAGTGCAAGCGAAGTAACGCGTGTGCACGCACGGGGTGGGGGGGGGCCGGGGCAAGTCAGTTTCAGTGCGCGTCAATTTCAGCCGCGCAGCGATCAATCGCGGGGCGCGGCGGGCGGATCCTTCCCGCTCCCGCGCAGTTATTTATCTCTGTCTGTTGCCCTTGCAAACTTCTTTGCACAGGGGAGGGGGTGTGCAAAGGGTGCAGGGGGAGGGCTCGCAACCCGCTGTAATTGGCTCCGAAAAAAGAAAGAAAAAAAAAAAAACCCACCCAAAAAGATGTTGCAACTGCTGGAAAAAAAGGTCATTGAAGGAGTTGGCTGCGAAAAAAAATCAGCTTAAAAAAGAGTGGCAGGCATGCGCAATGGGAGGATGCCATGTTGGAATGAGGCTGTAGCAAGAGAGAGAGAGAGGGAGAGGGAGCGACAAACTGGTCGCCTGCTCGCCGCGGAGCCGCAGGGCAGTGCCCTTCCCGCGCCCGGGGCGCTGTGCGCGGTAAGACGCGGGGCCGGGCTGGGGGGAGCAGGAGAAGGAGGGAGGGAAGGAGGGAAATGAAATTAAAAGGCAGCAGGAGCCTCCA